TATATATATATATATATATATATATATATATATATATATATATATATATATATATATATATGGCTAGATTCATGTGTTTCTTATATTTATTGAATGGTAGAATGCACCAATAAATTTAGAAAAATTAAATAATTATTTAATTAAATAAAGATAGATATTAAATAATTTCCATAATTGTATATATATTAAATGATATCTATAATTATAATTTTTTTATGGAAACTAATTAAATTCGTCATTAATGTCGACAATAACATTTTTTTAGAACAAATTCAAATCTAGGTTTTCATGTATAGGTTCTTGTTTTGTTTATGGACCCACTCACTTAAAATACAACAAAGTTGCATGTAATATGAAGAACGAAATGTATTCTACTAGAACACACTCTCATTCTTCTAGAATAAACTCTCATTCTACTAGAATACACTATCGTTCTCCATGTTCTAAGTAACTTTGTTGTAATTTGAGTGAGTGGGTCATGAAACAAAATATGAACCCATACATGAAAAACTAGATGCAAATTCATTCTGAAAAAATATCCTTGCTGATATTAATGACGAATTTATTAGTTTCCATAAAAAGGAGTTATAATTATGGATATCATTTAATATATATATAATTATGGAAATCATTTAATATCTATATTTATTTGATTAAATAATAATTTAATTTTTAGTAACTTATTATTGATGCATTTTAGCATATGAGAAACATTTGAACCTTGTTCTATCTCTTTCTCTTTCTCTCTCTCTCTCTCTCTATATATATATATATATATATATATATATATATTTACCTCTATATAACCCATCTTTTTTTACCAAACCTCACTCAATTTTTTTTTTCATATTTACCTATATATAAACAATCTTTTTTTTTTCTATATGTTTACCTAAATGCTAAGTAGGTTTAAAATTTATACTATTTTAATCGTTTAATTTGTGTTTTTTAAGGTTGTAGGTTTAAGTTATCTAGTTTTTTTCTAAGTTTTTAAGATTTTTTTTAATGTCTTGTTATATATTTAGTTATTTTAATTGTTTGATGTGTGTTTTTTAATTTCATGGTATGTTCTTTTTTTTAAGTAATGCAATGTAATGTTTTTTTTAAAAGTGAAGTTTTTATTAAAAATGGAGTTTTTATTATTAAAATGAAGTTTTAAAAAAAATTGTTAAAAAAAAGTGTGACACCACTCCTTGGGTGTGGCAAGAAACCACCCTTTTGTTGTAAATGATGATCTGGTGCCTACGTGGCAGTGTGGCAAAATGAGAGAGTGTGACACCATTCCCTCCAGCTTTGTATGTCATTATTTTGTGGTTCTTCGTGGTGTTTTGAACCACTTAGAGTCTATTAGATCTAATTTTTTCTGGGGCTGATGATCATGATAAAAAGATAAAACTAGGTTAAATGGGACGTGGTTCTTAATTTTAGACACCATGGTGGGTTGAATGTTGGTAACTTGTCTGTTTTAGTGCAACTATTTCATATAAGTGGCGTTGAAGATTCTTATATAAACTAGAAGCTTAATGGGTGAAGGTTATTAAAGCATGTCATGGTCTTGATGTTTATTTGGGGTCTAATCGTTTGGTGGGGTATTGTTCTGGTATCTGGTCTTCCATTGTCGGTTCTATTAACCATCTTCATGACAAAAGGATTATCTTGCTCTTGGATATAAGGCGTATTGTTGGGGATGATAATCATACTTTATTTTGGCATGAGGTGATGTATGGGGATATACCTTTTAAAAATTGTTTTGATAAGTTGTATGTCTTATTTACTAAAAAAGAGGGTTATGTGCAATCCTTCTAGGGTGATAATGGTTGGATCATTGCTTGGAGACATCCGATAAGGGGGTTACCGAGAGTCATCAGTTCTCGACTATGATTTAGGTCCTCAACAATGTGGTTTTATCCTCTAGCAAAGATTCATGGAGGTGGATTCATGATTCTTTTGATATGTTTTCGGTTAGATCAACTAGAGTCCGCATTGATGATCATTGAATTCTTTTCCTTCATGTTACTACTAGGTGGAATTCCAAGGTTTTGATTAAAATTATTTTGTTTATTTGGAGATTGTTGTTGAATCGTTTGCCTACTCGTGATAGATTGGATTATAAGGGGTTAGATACCCCTTCTACTTTATGTTCGATTGTGGGAATGTTGATCACCTTTTTTTTTCGTTTTGTCATTAGGGTGATGGATTAATTAGATGAGTTAGTTCTAGATTTTCTTAATGTTATTCAAATGGTTAATTGGATTGATAGTTAGCCAACGGTTCACTTATGACGAGTTAGTATGGATGTCATTTTGTCGACTATTGTTCAAAACGTTGTTCTTTTTGGAGTCCGGAAGTATAGGAAAAAGTACATGTTTGATAATATTGCAGTTCCTTTAGTTTGTTTTCTTTCCGTAACGCTAAGGCTACACTGAATTGGGTTCATTGGCTTCAAAACCCTTTCTTGCCTTAATCCCTTGTATTGTTCTCTTTTGCTAGTGTCCAACTAGCTTTTACTTTATAAAATTTTGCATTTAATTTTTTTTTTTTTTTTAATTTTGACATCTGCATATATCAAAGGAGAACAAAACACCATTTTTGATAGCCAATCTCCATGGATTCCTTGTTTTCTAACTCTCAAAACACACACAAATAGCCGTCTTCAAGGTGTTAATGTTTCTTTTGCCTTTCTCTACCAATTAGCACAAATAGGTGCTCTAATACAACACAATCAAACATCAAATGACAACACAATTTGGTGCATACATTACTAACCCACAAAGATATACAACAAAATAAAAGAAGAAATAAATACGTACATATTGTCTACTTAGAAAAACAAGGTAATAAAATAAAATGCTCATTAATACCAACATAATCACAATTAATTAAAAATCCTAACCGAATAATATTCGAATATAAAAGTAGCAATTAACATGTCTTTTTAGATAACATGTTCATCGAATTAACCACTTTTTTTCTTATCGCCCAACTTTTGAAATACATGCGAAAGCATACCAAAGAACCAAGCAAGTGAGCACATGACTCGTGACAAGATATATAAGATCCGATGTTTATATGTCTTCTTTGGGGAATGTGTTCGATCAGATTGTAATAGGGCCCGATAAATTGCTTCAGTCAATGCAAAATATGTAACAGGGTCAGATTCTTCTGGTAGTATACCTTCTTCCGTGAGGCATGCTATGTCATATGCACCGGTTGTTACTGGTATCCCTAAATAGCTACAAATTTGGATTCGACCATTTATCCGCTCGATGGGTTTTAAAGTATCACCATGTGTTAGGATCAAGATTGGGTCTGAATCTGATATTTGATATCAAATATTAAAAATGATAATTATTGAATTACATGTATTGAGTTTATTGAAGCATTGAACCAACATTTCGATGAAGTGTGAAATGTAAAAGTTCCCGTAAAGTACTCAAATATAGTATTTGACTTATAACGCGTGTTGCGACGGAGAACTTTTTGCAATTAATGAAAATGAATACTATAAAAAAAATTACCTAAGAGACCAAAATCGTATCTTTAAAATATAACAAGGGGTTAAAATCAAAAGTTATAAAATACCAATAATTTAACTTGATGAAAAATTGTTAGATTAAAATTTCTTTGAGAAAAAATATAAAATTGTTGAGAGAAAAAAATGTTGCATTCCATTTTTTGTTGTACAAGTGAACCAGAAAAACGTTTGGACTCACTTGCATCACATGTGCATCTTCCACTTTTGCCGTACAATTGAAGGTGAAAAAACTTGTACCATTGAGGTGAATGAGACCTTTTTTAATTATTTATCAAAATCTAAATAATAGATTATACTTTTTGATAACAATTATCAATGAAAACAAATTATAACAATTTGGTAAAAGAGGTGTAATGGAAAGTAGATGCATGGAAGTGTGATGAAATAGTAATTTGTATATGTACTTACTTGATGTCCTTATGGAAGAAGAGTGAAAAAGAGATTTAATGGCCAAAACCGGCTTAAAATCACCACCGGAGAAGAAGGCCTTGTAAACGTCGGCCAAATTCGCCACCAACACCACATAGTTCACTCTCCGTTTCACAAACCCACCGGAGGAGCAATTTAAGCTCAACCCCACATCATCTTCTCCGAAGCGACATGGTTGATTATGGCGGATTCCGTTCGTCATCCACTCTGTAATCTCCTCTATACCTTCTTCCATTCGATCCATATCCAAACCCCTTGAATCGTAAACACAAAACCCATTTCGTTGTGATCGTAACACGTTGTGCTCTTCAAGTATCATAGTCGAATAATTCGATGATTCATCTGAAATCAACGTTTCAAAATGAAAAATATGAAAAAGGGAAAGAGAAAGGATTTTAGGAATTAAGACGTGAAGTGAATTGAGATACGAACGCACTTGAAGTTTGGGAAAATGGGATGAGTCCAGATCTACCAAGAACACTGTACATAAAATTCACAAGCGAGCTTTTCCCAGAGCCAGATAATCCAACCAACAAAACAGTAATTATTGGAGGAATATCCATTTCTTCTTTCTTGATTCCACCAATTGGGAGCCAAAAATCACCAGATTTGTAGATCATGAGCCTGTGTTTAAGTTCATCCACACCTTGTTCACTGATCATTCGCAACCTCTCCATTTCTCTGAGTACCTTGAACATCGATGACGATGATTTGAGATATTCATCTGGAGATTTGAATTCTGGGATTGATTTCCACCAACAGAAGGATGATGATTCTTCATTGTTTTTGTGAGTGAAGTTGCAGGTGTCGTCCGACATAGTTGCTTCCTTTTGGGATGAGGGAGATTAGACTTGCTCTATTGACTAAAACATGGCCACCAAAATTATTTCAAAACAAAAGAAAAAGACTTAAAAGTTAAAAACTTCACTGACTATATAGTTTGTTCCACCAACTTCATGTTGTTTTGATTTTATTTTGTTTTTTTGGGAGGGTTGAAGAATTATATATTTTAGATGTAATTTATTATCTGAAAATTTTAGTATTATGTAATTCAAAAAAATATATTAAAGAAATACTAAAACTCATATTTTTTATAAATAAAATATAATATTAACATATTTGCATATCAAATCACGATTATTTGATTTTAATCTTTTATGATTTCATTTTCACACCTCATAAAATTCATTTTTTTTGTTTACTATTTGTTTATAATTCGTTATTTATTTGAAACTACAAGAATTATCGTGTCGTTGCACAAGTCAGAATGGTGCATGTAATTCACGGATATTGTTTCCCCAACTAAAATCTAAAAAAAAATCGTTTCATATCCATAACTTCATCAAAATATCTACAAAATTGCATTAATATAAAAAAAATAAAATTAGTTTATGAAGAGCTATTTTAAGAATGAAGAGAAAGAGAAAATGTAACCTCCCATTTTCACAAACAAATTTTTTATTTTTAGTTAAGGTAAAACATCATTTTCATAAAACCCAAGTTAAGAAAACTTATTTGTTACAAATACATTTATATGAAAACAAAAACAACGTAAGGTAAATGTGGAACTCCAATGTTGCTGGTGAATATGTACAGTCACGTCTTCATCTTTCCACGATCATCATAGGTACCTGAAAAATATTTAATCCACAACTGTAAACCAAAGCTTAACGAGTTCCACCAAAATGCCACACACCATAATATACATACATTGCATGCACACATCGATCATCAGTCCGTCTGGCCCGCCTCACAAGGCCTACCACATGCCTCGACCGTTCTCCTAAGCCTACAGTTTTACTGGACAGCCTCACAAGGCCTACAATACACCTGGACCGCTCTCCAACAACATACAGTTGATCCGCACATGGCCTACAACACACCGTTGACCTGCCCGGGTATCTTGGCCTACCGCGCACAACAGGACCGCCTCAACCCACCACCCAATATGTCAACATATGGATCACACAAGCAATCAAACAAACACATAAACATAGGAAACTATCTACACTAGTCTACCTGCCTAACAACCCACTATCGCATTGTAATGTCCCAAAACATCATAATAATTTTTTTTTTGATTTTCAAGCCATTTTCATAAAACCTCTAGTTAAATAAAAATTATTTTCCAAAACACCAAACAATCAGAGTATCAACACATCTCTCAAAATATCAAAATCCATGGAATGATGTGCACGATCACGCCTTCGCCTTTCCCCGATCCTCTGAATTACCTGAAACATTGAAATCCACAACTGTAAGCCAACGCTTAGTGAGTTCCCCAAAATACAACACACATAACCCAGTATCAACACAAAGCATGCAAGTATGAGCCTTCAGTCTGCATGGACCGCCTCGCAAGGCCTACAATATGTCTGGACCGCTCTCCCGAGCCTATAGTCTATTGGTTGTCTCGCAAAACCTATAATAGCTAGACCGCTCACCTTGGGCCTACAGTCTCAACTGGACCGCCCCGGGTATCTTGGCCTACAACACAAAGCAAGACCGTCTCAACCCAACCAAAACATGTCGACATAACATATAAACAATATAAAGCAAACACATGTAATCATAACAAATCTACCTGCCTATCATACTGCTATAACTCAACAACATCCTATACCCAAGGATACATAACATAATGAAGTAGGGTGGCCTTGGTGCCTTAGACCCATAGGCATAGTGAGAAAACTCACCTCGAAATCAATCAGAATATACAATAGCTCCCTCCCAAGATCAAAACCGACACCACGAATCACCTATAAGATAGTAGGAACTCAACCTCAGTCTAAAGTCCAAACTCATAAGTTGACTAAAAGTCAACTAAGTCAGAAAGTCAACAAGTCAACCCCATGGTCAACGGTCAAGTCAACAGCCCCAATAACCCTAATCAGCGAGTCACCACATCGGGGCCATCCATTAGTCATGTTGCGGTAGCATAACGACAAAACAGACAAGTCCTTACCCAGTTGCCACACCGTGGCAACCTAAGGTCACACTGTGGGAACTGGTCTGAACAACTTAACATATTAAGCCGTTTTCCAACAATTCCAAGAGCTTCAAAGCTTAGATTCGGTCCTTCCCATGGTCTTGATGGATAAATTTTCCAACTTTATCCATTAAGACATCTAAATAAGTCAATACCTCAAACCCTAAGTCCTTAAAGGTAACTCAAGTCATGCAAACACCCAATAAGCACTTAATCATTAGAGTTACTCTTCCAACGTTTCCAGAAGAGTTTCTTACACCTAATGGACCATAAAAATTGTAGCTTTATGAAAATTCATATCCAATGCATGTCCCTTCCATTTTAGGTCAAAAACATGGCAAATATATACTCAAAGCTTGTGCATGGGACCAAAACTCCAAGAATCCTCAGATCTGGAACATATAACTCTAAGATGACCATAAAGATCCATAAAGTTGCCAACTTTATGGAATCTAACCTTCCAAACTTCCAAACCATGAAGATTAAGGGACAAAAGGCCTAGATCTCAAAGCAAGTGACAAAAAGATTGGATCTTGGAAACTTACAAAGGTCCATAGAATGCACAAGGGAAAGATGATGAGACTTGGTTGTTGAATCTACACTCCACACCTTCTTCTTCTTCTTCTCTAAGCTACCAAAAGCACCAAAAGGACCAATAATCATCAAGAGCGGCTAGGGTTAGGGTTTCTGAGTCTAGAGAGTGATGGAGGCTCGAGATGACCAAACCCTAGCCCTCACTTTCCTTTAAATAGGGCTCAAACCTGAAAAATTTGGGTTTGAGTCTTCAGGTGGCCACCACGTCGTGGCAATAATACCGCTACACAGTGGGGAAGAAAATTGGTTACGCGTTTAATTTTTCTTGGCTACATCGTGGTGGTGCCCCCACCACATCGTGGCAACCCCAAAAATCATAAATTTACTTAATTAAAATATACCTCAAAGTCTGGATGTTACACGCATACACTACGTCATAGCCGACAGATCTCCAAAGATTACATAGTTATATGTAACCAGAAGGTGAGATAGACATTCGAAAAAGTGATCCCATCCTAGAGTCGCAAACAAACAAGGAACACTCCAGAAAGCCTAGATCAAGAGTTTGTAGGCTATCCTACATCACTACATACAACCCTAAGGGCACTCCACTAGACAATTACCGACCTACTGGTTCTCTAACCAACATGCCACTACTCATATATCCTGGCATATAAGGATATACATTGTAACACACATTATAGTGAGAAAACTCACCTACATCGAAGAGCCAAGGAAACACAACAACACCCTCACTCCATGCACCAATCACTCCCGCGAACCGACTATCACCAAATAAAGATAAGTCCATAATCAATAACCCAAGTCATTCAAGTTTTACCCAAAGTCAAACTAGTCAGAAGTCAACATAAGTCAACGGTCAACCAATTTAACGCTCACCACAACGTGGAGACCTCTTTACCATGTCGTGGTAATGTTAGGAAAAAACAATCGACATGTAGGATTCCACCATGTCAAGTCAATCCCCTGGCCACGTCGTGGTTTCGACAAAATACCTTTTTATTCATTAAGAGCTTAATCCTTACAGATCTAAACCCATAACTTCAGATCTAGTCCTTTTTTAAAGACCTAATGGATAAAATTTTCAACTTTATCCATTATGTGACATCCCCATTTTCGCGGTCAGAAAAGACCGATTTTTGTTTATGCTTTATAATAAAATCAGAGTAACTTTTTAAAGAAAAGTGTTGCGGAATTTGTCCCAAGAAAAATATGATAAATATGTTATCAAGGCATTTCCGAAGAAATGTATTTTTATTCATTTTAAAACTTTGGGATGTCATCATCAATACAGAAACATAAGCATAAACAGAACTTACATTCATTTACACTACTGATCTACATCTCTTTAATCTCTCGGTGTAGTGTAGCTTTATATCGACACATGTGATACAAATAAACTGAGT